ATCATAGCTATGTACAAAGAGGGAGTTCAAAGGTATTTACCTACATTTCCCTGATAAAACTGAACTGAACTGACCGTATTAAGGAGCCACTGTAATCTGACTCAGATCCGGGTAACAAGCAGGTCGTGAACTGGCTATAACACCATAGCGAGCAGAGGCGTGTATTCTACTCCTGCTCCAGCAGCCAAACACTGCCGAGCCTTGTATTACTAAACGCGCAACCAAAAACCCAACAATTGCTGGTTGATTGCAAAGCTCAACGATTTTTAGCTTAATCAACAAATAAATTACATTAAGCCAGGATGTAAAAAATATATGAACAAAAAGTTTCCATTCACCTCCAATATAACAATATGGCCATCTCTAAAGTAGGCCAATGCTTTCCTTAGACATTGTAACAATCAACACAACTCAAAATGTAGCTTTTCACATTGAATGCCAATGTAGAGAGAAAAAACAGATATTTTTTAAATGACAAAAAATGTTTGTCACACAGAGTATCTTACGGGACATCCCCTGCTTGCTGAACTCCCGTGTCAGGACATTCGGCAGCACTAACAACGGATGCATCCGCTTCCGGGTGTTTGTTTGTGTCGACCTCACTAGAAGTACTGCTATCGCTGTCCGCGGATCCGTCACTGGAGGCGGCTTCCGCATTTGCGTTAGTCACGAAGGAATCAAAGACATCGAAAGCATCCATCATGCACTCAGTGTCCGACCTAGGTATACACAAGCAACAGGAACCAGAATAAGGCGCAGTTAAACTTGACAAAAAATAAATAAAGCAGCAACGTATGTAACTACAAATTAAAAGGCATATAGCAAAGGGTGTCAATAAATGTTTGGCTTTGCCTACTTAATGCAACAAACAACAAACAACAAACAACAAAGGTTTACACTTGTACGGGAAATTTGTAAGGGCCTGGGCCCTACAAATCGTTATTCGATGCAAGAGAAGGGAACAAAGAAAAAGGCATCACACTAGGAGTTTTTCAGACGCATAAAAAATGAAGAAAGAGAAAGAAATACGCAACGGTTATAAAGGAAACTTTAACTTACGCTGAGATTTCCTCGAGTTCGTAGTCAGACTGAGAAAGCAGAGTTGCTAGACTTAACCCCTTTGGTGAGCCAAAATCTGCAGCAACGGATTTTGAGTAGAAAGTGCAGAAGGAAGAGATAGATCGCCGTACAAGACTCCGCAACCACTTTCTTTTTTCAGCAACCAGTGGAATAGTGAAACTGAATGCCTTTTGCACGTCTGTAATATCGAAGTCGGACAATATAATTAGATGACTTGTGCTTTAATGAAAATGTTTTGATTAAACTGAGATTACCAACTATAGACTGACGCAGGAGCCTGTAGTATATAGATGGGATTGAGTATGTGTGACAAAAGTAAGTAGACAATATTACACTAGCCAGTTCTGTCATACGGAATAGTGAATACCATTGGAGAAGGTGACGCACATAAGATTTTTCGACTAGCAAAGGGAAACAGATATGAATTGCAACGTTCAAGTAACTCGATCCTTTATGTCGATGGTTTGAAATACAGGACTAACTGCCTTAAATTGCCCGCTAGATGGACACCTAAGCTTGAACGAAACCCGTAGACCTCGGAGAAGTAAATAAATTTAGTAAAAATCCCAGGTGTCGAGTTTCAGAAAAACAACAATTGACGCCCGCAATAATCTCCCGAAGAATCAACAGCAGTATGAATGAAAGAAAGAGATATGAAGTCGTGTCCTAATGATGCTAACGGGTCAATCAATCTCCAGGTAAAAATGAAAGCAATAAAATTATATTATGCATTTTACTACAAACAGCAATGAGGGCTAGATAAAAGGACGCACCTGATTTGCTGCCTGCCAAACAAATGAGGAGATCTGTGAGGTTATCTGTCAACTTTTCAAGATCATTCTCAAGTCTTGATGAAGTGACAATTGGAGGCGGGAGAGTAATGCATTCAAACCGTCGGGACAAACTGGTAGCTGGAAGTGAAAGTGGAAAAGAGCAAATAAGAAGACAAAGCGACCTGGCAGGGGTTGTCGATCAATAAATTTTGAGTTGCAATGAGGTCAAAAGCATTAACAAGACTTACGATCTTCAGAAAAGCGTATAGAATCCTGTTCCTCGCGTTGTGGCTGTCGCATACGTAGAGCAAGCTGAAGGCGGATACGCATTAGGTCTTGGTTCAGGCGTGCAACAAGTGGATTCTCTTCAGACACCAACTGCTGCTTAAATGCATGACAAGTTTGTGCGAGATGGAAAAGCCGGGTCAATCTTCGACGAAGGCGCGCACATTTTGAGGTAGTTTCGAAGGTGGGTGCATTTTCTCCCCCCGTTCGTCTCATTACGTCACTCGCCCATGCGCGAAGCTTGCCTTCAGATAAATAGTCAAAAAAGCAAGTCAAAGGAAAAAAGCAAATCAAAGCAATGTTTAAAAATATATAAGGGCGCTGGTAGCCTCTTCCAGAGATGAATAATGAGAAACATCGTATCTAAGTCTATGCTCCAGTTGTTTGGAAGAGGGCGGTGTAAAATGCCAATGATCGAATAGAATACACAATTTTCATGGGCTCTCAGAAATACGTGGACGACAAACAACAAACCGGCTGTTTTATAACTCTAGACATCCTTCTATACAAATGAATTTACATACTATGCTGCCTAACGGCTAACGGGCAATATACTAGTCTCCGAGCACGCATTACTAAATACGCATACTTGTACAATGTTATTTTTCAAATGCCACACCTTTTAGCCACACACACATCATTATTATTTTTGTACTTTTGCACACTAGTACGAACTGTAACAATTTTTACAAGTTAACTGCTTTCCGTGCATAAGTGTACCGTTTTAATGAAGTTTTTAAGGATCTATGTCATTTCCTCCAAATATACTGATTGGTACTGACTTAAATATTACCAATTAGATAAAAATTTACGACACTGTACGGAACTGAGTTCACCTAGCCTATCGAATACAAGTAGGTAATTTGAGCAAATAAAAAGGATGCATAGTGAACAAACATTATCAAGACATTACATGCACAACTTACCAAACGAAATAAGACGGCGGCTTCTAGAAGAGCTTAAGCGCTTTAGGCGTTTCAACGAAGAAGATTGGATGTGTTCGACTCTGCCCAAAAATTTGTTTATAATAGCAGCATTTGCCCGTGTCTGAGTACTTGACGTTTCTTTTGACACAACTATAAAAGGCAGTCAAGAAGCAATTAACGCCCACTTGATTCCAGCTGTTTAACAGTAAGTTCTTCCACATCCTGCAAAACGTCTATCACCGGCGCTTGTTCTTTGTGGAAATGTTTACAAAGTAAAACGTACGCAAGGGCGCATCGACAAAGTAATTGCTGATCTTCAAAAGTTTGGAGTCTTTGGCATCTTTTTGAACTTCAGCGTAGAAAGAGGCAATGTTTGTACAATTGACCTCAAAGTCTCGGATAATTTCACCAAGTGGGTCCGGAGATTCTTAAGAAATAAAAAGAAGTTTAAATGAGAGGACAGATAGAACTGTTGGAAGCGATCAGAAAAGGCAGCATGCAAAGCAGGATAATCAATTAGTCACTTATACTAAAATTAAAACTACAGATTCGCCAATACGCCAAAAGCAAGTTTTTGGACGAAAATTTCGGAAAATTCTGAAGGATGGCAACACGCATATAGCATCGCTTTCGATCCTATTGCCCGGGGAAACACAGCAGACACGTC